ACAGGACATGAGGACATGAGGATAGGACATGAGGACATGAGGACAGGACATGAGGACAGGACATGACGACATGAGGACAGGACATGAGGACAGGACATGAGGACATGAGGATAGGACATGAGGACATGAGGATAGGACATGCGGACAGGACATGAGGACAGGACATGATGACAGGACATGAGGATAGGACATGAGGACAGGACATGAGGACATGAGGATAGGACATGACGACATGAGGACAGGACATGAGGACAGGACATGACGACATGAGGACAGGACATGAGGACAGGACATGACGACATGAGGACAGGACATGAGGACAGGACATGACGACATGAGGACAGGACATGAGGACAGGACATGAAGACATGAGGACAGGACATGAGGAGAGAACATGATGACAGGACATGATGACAGGACATGAGGACAGGACATGAAGACATGAGGACAGGACATGAGGAGAGAACATGATGACAGGACATGAGGACAGGACATAAGGACATGAGGACAGGACATGAGGACATGAGGCCAGGAGAGGGACAGGACATGAGGACAGGAGAGGGACAGGACATGAGGACAGGAGAGGGACAGGACATGAGGGCAGGACATGAGGACAGGACATGATGACATGACATGAGGACAGGACATGAGGACAGGACATGAGGACAGGACATGAAGACAGGACATGAGGACAGGACATCAGGACATGAGGACAGGACATGAGGACAGGACATCAGGACATGAGGACAGGACATCAGGACAGGACATGAGGACATGAGGCCAGGAGAGGGACAGGACATGAGGACAGGACATGAGGACATGAGGCCAGGAGAGGGACAGGACATGAGGACAGGAGAGGAACAGGACATGAGGACAGAACATGAGGACATGAGGACAGGACATGAGGACATGAGGCCAGGAGAGGGACAGGACATGAGGACAGGACAGGAACAGGACATGAGGACAGGACATAAGAACATGAGGATAGGACATGAAGACAGGAGAGGGAAATGACATGAGGACAGGACATGAGGACAGGACATCAGGACATGACAACATGAGGATAGGACATGAGGACAGGACATCAGGACATGACAACATGAGGACAGGACATGAGGACAGGACATCAGGACATGAGGACAGGACATCAGGACATGAGGACAGGACACGAGGACAGGACATGAGGACAGGAGAGGGACAGAAGAAACAGACAGAAATACTCAGAACTTGTGGAAACAAATCCTTTGACCAAAACGTTAATTTTTTTCAGAGAAAATTGATCTTTAGCAGAAATGATGAACTTTAAACTAAAAGCAACAGAACCATCAGAACCAGACTGAGGACAAGTCCAGGGACACCCTGACCAGACTCCCCAGTTCTACCCTGAGCTCCACTCCTCTAATCTTAGTCCTGGTCCAGACCTCCTGGATGAAGGAGGGGTTGGATCGTAGACCAGAACACCCAGATCTGTCTGTGAGCTCAGACTCTTCATCTCTTCTGAAAAATGTCTTTCAGCTGGTTTTAGGAGGCTCCAAGAACAGGTCCAAGAACAGGTCCAAGAACAAGTCCAAGAACAGGTCCAAGAACAAGTCCAAGAACAGGTCCAAGAACA